AAAAAAACCCAGACCTTACATCCTAGGTGAATGGCTATTCCTGGTAAAGAAGTGAATAGTAGACCACCCTAACCTTTAAGCAGCCTAAGCTGTTTGTTATATAAAAACCTGTGTATTAAAATGTTGGGCTTTATATCTTTGCAGGACTAATTTCAATGGGTCACTAGACATAGCTGCATAAATATTAGCTTGGACCTGACTAGAACAGACAATTTATACAGGGCTGTTTGCTTCACATATACATGAAGAATATATATAATATATATATTTAACTGGAGGAAATGAATTGCTTCTCCCCCACTTCTCCCCCCTGCCACTATTAAACAGTAGGGAGAAGAAAATGGCTGAGCTAATTTAATATCTTGAGATACTCTAAGATGCTGCAGGTGTCTCTTGTCAACACTTTTAAAAGGCTTTCTGCCAATGTGTGGTTTAAAAGTCAGGAAAAGTTAAAATCTACAACAGCACTTATATAGAGATGACGTGTTTTGTGGGGTTTTTTTAGGTTTTTTTTATATAACTGCAAATCCTTGCAGCCCCCTTCTGACCAAACCTGAAGCAAGGGGGGAGATTCCTTTTCTTGAAATAAGCCATGAATGCTTAGAATGTGCTTCAACCTGAAGAGAGGCAGCTTTTAATCTTAATTTAGAGCAATGAATATTAAAATAAAAACGATGTTTTAACTTTGCTCTGCACCAGTTTGGTTTGAAGCAGGCACTAGCTGCCACCTCCATAGGCAGGGACTGAGAGTGGCCTGTTCCTGGGCATAGGCCTGCAGCACCTCAGGCAGCTGGTTCCTTGACTGTGAGATGAAAAATTGTGCTTTGGTCAAAAAAAGTTTAGCTGTGCTTGTGTGGGGTGCTGTGCGTGCTCTCTACACGGGCCGCAGCCAGGCTTGTAACGCCAGACAAATGCCGGCTTGGGAGGTTGAGCCACGCGAGCCTGCGGCCCAGCGGGCGGGAGACCCCCCGGCCCAGGCGAAGCCCAGGGGAACCGGGCCCTCGATGCACGCGGCGCCTGCGGGTCCGGTCCTGAACCCGAGCAGCAGCGCCCACGCGCTGCGAGAGGCGGTGATGGGGGCGAGGGACGCGCTAGCGGCCTGCGGCAGAGCGAGCCCGGGCCGCCACGCGCGGCAAGTGGCC